GGTCAGTCTGAGCCAGCGCCCGACCGTCCGGTTCAGCCCGAGCCGGCGGTCCGGCCGGTTCGACCGGCGGTTCGAGCCTATATTTTTGGTTCGTGAGTTCCGATCCGAGTTTTTATTTCGGACTTTAAGTACCAAACCCGTCAGTTCAAGAGTACCAGTTAAAAATCCGAACTTAGTATATTTTTAAGCAAATCCTTAGCACAGTCTATTTCATCTGGTAAATGAGCATATAGAACCGAGCATCTTAGCATAATAATTAAATATTCTGAGCATCATACTTCGCATTATTTTTGCTTATATGTTTATGTAGCCTAAGGAGAGTCGAACCTCTGACCGCTACTTTAGTTTCAAGCACTTGCGTCAGATTTTGAGTATACCAGGTGGGAGCCTTTACAGGGCGCTACATTGCGCATTTCAGTTATCCTGTATAAGGTGCGCGAGTAAGTTATTTACCCGAGCGGTTAAATTATCTCGTTTGTGGTCGAAAGATTAAGTTTCTCCCAGGGTTTGGTGGCCGAGGGCCTTAATCTTCCCCCTGGTACCCGGTAGAGGCCAAGGGCCTCATTTACGGGTTGTGCATACGAGCGGCCGAGGGCCAAGGGTCTGTGACCACAAGAAAAGACAAGAAAAGAGAAGAAAAGAAAAGAAAGATTAAGTTCAACTCTTATATATTGAAGTTCATGATATGTTATTATAGATGTTGTCTAATTCAGTGTCGGCCAGAGTAAGGGTCATATACTGGGTTTTATACCGTCTATAATTATTTTACCATGACTGAGGTATGTTCGAGAGATTAAGTTTCTCCCAGGGTTTGGTGGCCGAGGGCCTTCATCTTCCCCCTGGTACCCTGTAGAGACCGAGGGCCTCATTTACGGGTTGTGCACACGAGCGGCTGAAGTAAGGGCCTCTAAGGGTCTTTGAGACCACAGTATAAGTATAAGAAAAGTTTTCCATTTCAGCAAAACTTATTTATTTATTTTATGCTGCTTTTAAGTTTATGTTTAAAGTTAAGATTATTCAAGTTCCAATTTTCCCACGAGCATGCAGATGTGCTCACACTCCCACAGTCTTTTTTATTCCAAGTGTTGGAGTCCAGTGTGCCGGGTGAGCAGACGTGTCAAGCGTGGTCATGAGCAGTGGACATTTTCACACACATATTATGTTTTAAATCATTCATGAATTAATATGTAATATGCATGTGTGTAATATGTATTATTCAGTTTAAGTTTCCGCTAGGTTATTAGTGCTAGACTACCGGATTGTATGTATAATTTCAATATCACCGTGGTGGTTCGATTGGTTGCATGTTTTATTTATGTCCGAGATAGTAAGTTAAGAAAGTTTTCGTAGCATCCCGCAATTAAGAAAGTATTTTCGAAAAATAAACTCGCACGATATTTCAAAAATAAGCAAAAAATTAACTCTGACTTTCAAAAGTCAAAGCTAGTCAAAGCGGGGTGTTACAGCTTGGTATCAGAGCATTTAGAGTTCTAGATACCTTACAAAGTTTTAGAAAAGCGTGACCACGCCACGCTCACTCCGCGCCGACTCCGAGGTAAGTCACCTAAGCCAAGTTTTAAGTTTTGCAAGTACTGATTTAAGTTCGAGTATAGGGCCTAGATAACTATCCTCCTATAAGAAAGAGAACTCTAGAGAAAGAACTCTAGAAAATTGAGCTAAGACCAAGAACTCTAGAACAGCTAAGTCCAAGGACTCTCGCCTAAGTCAGAACTCCAGTTGAAGCAGAACTCTAGACTAAGTCAGAACTCTAGCCAGAACCCAGAAGAGTTAAGTACACCGGAACTCTAGCCAAGCTAGGTGTTTCCGGTTCCATCCAACATTTCAAGTATGGTATGGCTATTTCTTAATTGGCTATACTATTCTTGTCAGACAGTTGGTGGCTATCCAGATAGTCATTCCACAAAGCTCCGAACCCACCTGTCTAGCGGGAACAGGCTGTGGTTGTGGGCCAACTCCAAGGATTGGTAGAACGACTACTAGCGTATGAGAACAAAGGATGAGTACGACCAGATGACATGGGACCGGCACTGAGGGACTTGGAAGCCAAGTTTACAACTGCGTTTTAATTAACGGTAAGTGAAGCAAGAGTTCAGTGCCTTTCAGCATGAGGCCACTCGGTAGAGGAATACAAGCGCAGATTCGCTAATGAAAGTGCTTTTGCTCGTCACCTCATAGACACCGAGGAGAAGGAAGCATCTCCTTATTGGAGGCAGAACCCAAGACGCAGTCGCGTTTGTGGTCGAGATGTATGATTTTCATCGAATTCTCGGCATAGATTTGGTTGGCGAAGTACCGCGCAGTGTCGCTAATTATTTTCGCTATCCGCAAGTGTACGGAGTAGCTATAGGTAGTGGCGAGCAAGGTCGTATTCCACAGAGATTGCAGTTAAATTAATTAAGTACTAAAATAGTGACGATTAAATATTATTTAGACTAACAAAATGGGATGATGATTATAAACTAAGAGATTAAACTAAAAGCTAATTTACCTAAAGTAGTAAAAATAAATCACAGATATTAAAGATAGATTCTAGGTTATATTTTCCTCGGAATTAATTCATGAAACGTTTATATTCAAACAAACCTTATTTAATTTTACCAATCGTAGAGATAATCGCTAAATTGATTTCAAACCTTTCTCTCAAACAAGTTAAATCGTAGATATTAATTGTTATCTATCTCCTCTCGGTCTCAAGATGAACAACTAACTCCCATAAGTTCCTAGGATTTTCGTTCTCTCGCAAGGTCCTATCAACCTCTCGGTTTGTTTATTCTCTCACGTTATAAATTTCCCAATTCTAGCAATCAATTATCTCCTCTCGGTCTGTTTGCTAATTATTTTCGCTATCCGCAAGTGTACGGAGTAGCTATAGGTAGTGGCGAGTAAGGTCGTATTACACAGAGATTGTAGTTAAATTAATCTATTAATATATAAAGAGGGAATGATAGTTTTTTGAAAAAATCATGTGGAAAATCAGGAAAAAAAAGATTTCAGTTCCCGCCTAAATTTTTAATGTAATCAGTGCATTTTTTTGGCGAAAATTGAGCAAACTCCCGCCCATGAAATTCTGAAATTTTGGATGTCAATTTTAATAGGAGTGATTTCAGCACTTTTATATGGTGTGCAGTTATTATGGGATGATGATAAGATTTGGTCAGATTTTTATGGCACTTATTTGTAGATATCCTAATCTAAAAAAAGAACGGTAAGCAGAATAATTTTTTTTTGCCTACGCTCTTATCTTTGCTGATATCCACGTTCCTACATAATTATTCATTAGCATTTTTTATACCATCACCGTTCCTATCAAGATTGTTTTGGAAAATCTACCAATTTAACCCGGTGGGGCTCCGGCGAAAACGAGCTCCTCGGCCATGGAGTTTCAAGCCGTCCGATTTCCTGATTTTCTCTCGAGAATCAGCCGCATCGCACTAATACCCACGCTATCGTTGCATTCGTTTTAAGATCCAGTCTTGCTCCACCACCATAGCCACCACATCGCCACCGCTCCCCTAGGGTTTGATGGCTGGACAAAGATCGGCCAGCAGCAGGCGGCCGTCTCCAGAGGCTCCCAGGTTGGAATCTCCACGGCGAGAGCACTGGCGGCGCCACGGCACCTAGCTTGGAATCGACAATTGCAGCTCACGCGTATTGAGGAGCTCGATTGAAAAAAGCTCGCCACCAGGGATGCTTCAATCGTGAGGGAGATCGGGAATTTGCTCCATCTAGGGTTGACGAGTTTCGCAACCCTAGCTGCTACAATCCGCCTCCATCCTTCAGTTCAGTTAAAATTGATTACTTATTTTGATATTTTTCATTTTTTTTTTT